CACATCGCATCCAAACACCACTGCGAATGTGCAAATGGAAGTAGAATGCATGCCGCATCCTGAAAAGGGACTGATTAATGAAAAATGCTTTACACTTTGTCCTTTTATGGCGTTTGAAACTGACAAGGAGTATGGAGATGCGAAATGGAGCAGTCTCGAAGAAAAACGAAAAGAAGTCGTAGTCAAGGTCGAAAATACAGAGTGGCGAAGAATTGCGTGCGCCATAAAAAACGTCCTAACTTCATTTTTGGTCCACAAAAATTTGAAGGAAATTAATTTTATAAACTCTAACATTCAATAATTACAAAAAGTATCGAAGTGGCCGCTGTCAGTTTTGATATAGATCTGAATTAGTTTCGACATTGAGTCGATGGTGCGGCGAAGCTGGAGAGTCTCTGGTTTGACGAAAAATTCTCCCATTTAAGCAGCTAAAAACTCCTAAATCACCTTCAACTTTTTTTGCTCAGCTCTTGGGAACATTTGTAATTGGAAAATACCTGCAAGAATTCCGTTCGCTGAAAGTTTGATGATTTGGAGCAGTATCAGTGCTTTGGGCAACCATTGATTTTTATCGATAAATCATGGAAATCAATGCGAAGATATATCATGAAGAGGTCTTCAAGAAAGCTCTGGTGCTCTGGAAGCAGAGTCACAACAATGTTGTCTTTCTTTGTCTATGAACAAAAAATAAAGTCAGGATATTTTTCGTGGCGCACGTAATTTTTCGCCACCTTGTAGGACCTCCTCCTTTTCCAGCAGCAGCGAAGAGGGCGGGCATAGCAGGAAAGCTGGTCCGAACTAGTTTTTGGGATTCCCAGCCATTCTTGGCTAGGTGCCAGCTGCTTCCAGGTCCTGTGCCAGCCACGCACCACCTCCCGCGGTGGGCGGTCATAGCTAACGCCGGGCGGCGATGGCTAACAATAATACCACGCTGTTCCGGATTACGAGCATGGTTCGATCTTTGTGAGTGCGTAACAACTGGTTCGGTCTACTAATCCCGACCTTTGCCTTTGAGAAGCGAGATTGACGTACTTTCAAGAACCATGTTAACAACAAAGAGGAATTCACTCTCACACTCTTCACGCTTAACTATCCTTTCAAGTGATGCATCTTTTAGATTCCAGAAAAAGTTCAGGGTCAAGGACGAACTGTTCACAGCTCGCGTCGAAGAGCGATCACCTCTTTTTGCCATCAAACTGCCAGAAAAATTCCTTCGCAAGAATCCTGACCAAAATGTAGCCATGGAATACAATGTAAACAGGTGGGTCAAGGAGCGGTTCAAGTTTTCAAATGGCACACTAAGAACGCATGGCAGATTTCATACTCGCCATCGCTCTAGTCCTTGACAGTATCCAGGATGAGTGATTCCTTACCCATGCGTTTGCTTCACTTGTAGTGGGACAGTCACGTCATAAGCGGTTAGTTTAGCTGATCTCAGGTGAAAATGTAGTTTGAGGGGGCCACTCATAATATCTAATCGAACTGACAATATCTAATCGAAGTGGAGCTGCGGAAGGGCGGTCATATCTAATCACCATCCAGACACAGTCTCTGAATGTATGATTAGATAGGGATACCAACTCGAGATTCCATACAAAATCGGATACCTGAAAGGTCCTCTCTTCGAGGGCTCGCATGGCAGTCGCAAGAAGGGAAAGTGAAGAGCCAGCAAGGTAGCAGCCATTTTAGCCATAGAATAATATGACAAGGGTAAGCGTACTAGTCGTAGGCCACGGTCTCAGTGAAAGATATGATAAGATATAAGTGCCTTCCCGCAACTCTACTTTGATTAGATATGAGTGTCTTTCCGCAGCTCCACTTCGATTAGATAGGGTGCCCCCCCCTTGCGAACTAACGCGAACGAACGAACCCCCCCCCTACACTTTCACCCTGCTCTCGGTCAGCTTTTTGGAGATTAGCCCTGGGATGTCTGGGCTCTTATTCGCCCACCAAACTATCGTATCCTTTACTGCAGTACCTTTTTGTCTCTCAAGATCTCATGCATGTAGGCTTTACGCCAAAAAAGGAGAAATGGCTCTCATTCTTAGTGTTTTCTGCCCAACTCGCATCTTCAGTCTCATTTATAGAGGCAGTACACCAAGCAGCACCTACACCTAATAAAAGCCGAATGGTCCCTGAAAATAACATTTTGCAATCCGTTCGAAGTGTGACTTATCAGTTCACAGTTAACAAACGCAAAACAATCTCCCAAACAGTAGAACTGCCTGTTGTCTAGCTGAAAATGTCTTACCTGTTTGTTCAGATTGGTCACCACAAGGGATATTGGTATGACTTTGATGGACCTCGCCAACATGAGCTTCACTGCGAATCCCATAAAGGAAAAAGATGACGATAAGCAAATGACCAGGGAAGAAGAAGCATGTATGTCAGTATACCCCTTCAGGTCATGGATAGCATGAATCGCTGCGTGTTTAGTGGCTGGAGCTTCCCTTTTGGCGGCATATTCATTCAAACTGGCGATCGTGCGATGATGCTGGCATTCCTCCACAGCTGTGCCTTTGCATGGATAAGAAGATCCTGCAGTCAGATGACTACACAAAGTAAGGTTTTTGTTTGCCTTATCTGCCAATTAGTGGAAGGGTTCCGATTACCAAGAGCCATCAAAATATCATGAGATACAAAATACCACTACGTTTTACGTTCACTGTCGTGATTCGGAAACAATTCGTCC